CATGTTATTTGTGGTTCTTGGTCTGCTGATGTTGAGAATCAGGATAGAACCTGATTTGTGTGAAAAAATGAAACAAGTGTAATCCCCCTCTCTGATTACCATACTGCTACTGCTGCTAATTATGAACTCAGCTGTATTACACCTGCTCAAATATATTGACAAAGAACACTGAGTTCTCAATGATCACCTCTACAGTGATATAATGTGGAGTACTGGTCATGTGTGCTGCACTTATGGAGATCAGTCTGCTTTTGATGTGGTTGATTATGATATGGTGAAAAAAAGCTGTTTTTCCTTCATGACTCTTATATCAGCTGGTTGGTCTATAGACCATGTATAAAGATGGACAACACATCTCCACTTCCCCCCGCTATCCAGAAATTAAGCGATGTACTGTAACTTGAGTCGATTAGCTATATTTTGTTTTCCATTTTCCATTCTTACTTGATTCTTGCTGTTCTTTTGAATGGAAGTTGATACTTTGGATGTTGAGGAGAAATGAATGGACGTTGAGTGAAGGGGTTGAAAATGTGTCTGATCTGTGAGAACGTGCATGGTGACCGGGTGGAGGAAGAATATGTGTAGTGGTCCCCCCCCCCCCACTGAGGGACAGGGGATGAAGGGATGAGGGTGGGTACAAGAATCTGAGACAAAAAGTTCACTCATTCACACCCTTCCAGAAACTGAAGGGCTGGTGATCAGCCTTCTCCTCGGGAGTGTTGTGATCTTTCCAATGAGCCATCGCTCAACTCTTTCTCTTTCTGTCACACTCATGACAAAATTGGTTGGGAAATGCTCTGCGGTTCTTTAAACCTGGAGGGTGATGGCATGAAAGTCAAGTGACAAGAGTGACAACTAGTCACTTGTTTTCCTGAAAGGCAACTTTAACAAAAAGAGAAACCGTTATATGTTGTCACGGGTTATGTGGAAAGATGGTGGAGCAACTAGAAACTTAGAGATGATAACAGAGTGAGATGATACTGATAACTGCTGATGATGATAAAGACTTCTTATCGTTATGTCCTGTTCCTTTCTGTCGGCTCAAACCCTTTGTCTTCATTCACCTCCAGATGGCAACACAGAACAT